TGTAGCACTTTAAAGACTAACAAGGTGGTTTATTAGATGATGAGCTTTCGTGGGAAGTGGGTCTGGCCCAGGAAAGCTCATCATCTAATAAACCACCTTGTTAGTCTTTAAAGTGCTACATAGTCCTGCATTTTGCTTCAGCTTCACCAGACTCACACGGCTACATTTCTATCACTATTCTAGATTGGCACGGGCGCTTTTCCACAAAAGCCCTTTTTGCGGAAAAGCATCCGTGACAATCTAGACGCGGTTTTGCGCAAGAAAGCCCCGAGCGCCATTTTCACCATCGGGGCTTTTTTGCGCAAAACAGTTTTTAGCGTCTGCACTGGCCCTTTTGCGCAAAAACATTTCCGGAAAAGGGCTTTTGCCCGAACAGGAACACCAAAGCATTTGCGCAAGAAGCACTGATTTCGGACAGTAGAACGTCAGGGCTTTTGTGCAAAATCACGCGGCCAGTGTAGACAGCTGGCAAGTTCTTGCAGAAAAACGGGCCAGTCTAGACGCAGCCCAGATGTGGCCTCACCAGAGCAGAATAAACACTTCTCAGGAGGGCCTGGCCATGCTCCTAGTGCCCCCAATGTGCCATTCGCATCCTCTTGGCTACCAGGGGCCCTGGTGACGCATCTCCAGCTTCTCACCCGCTGCAACCCCCAGGGCCTTGTCTGCTGAACGGCTGCTTGGCCAGTCGGTCCCAGCCTGTACCTATGGGATTCTTCCACCCCCAGGGCCTTGTCTGCTGAACGTCTGCTTGGCCAGTCGGTCCCAGCCTGTACCTATGGGATTCTTCCACCCCCAGGGCCTTGTCTGCTGAACGGCTGCTTAGCCAGTCGGGCCCCAGCCTGTACCTATGGGATTCTTCCGCCCCCAGGGCCTTGTCTGCTGAACGGCTGCTTGGCCAGTCGGTCCCAGCCTGTACCTATGGGATTCTTCCACCCCCAGGGCCTTGTCTGCTGAACGGCTGCTTGGCCAGTCGGTCCCCACCCGGAACTGAAGGGCTTTTG